CCGGCCCCAGCGGTGGTCGCGGCCCACGCGGAGCCCGCAACCGCCCCGCCCGCGCCGTCAGCCCCCCGGGGGCCCGGGGGCGGCTCCCATTAGTGCGTCGCCCACTTTACGGGCTGGGCTCGCCTGCTCCTTTGTTTCATTGAATTTGTGAATGAAGCACTGGGTTGAGGCACGCCCGCCAATCCCAGCTCTTTTTGGCTCTCAGCCAGCGAAAAGTGGGAGTAGCTTTAGCCTTCAAGGCCAATGAGATCACAGTGCTCTGGTATTCATTCAAGGACGGAGCTCTCATTCATGAAAAAAACCTCTCGAAGTTCATTCATGAAACGCTGCAAGAGCGCTCCAACTGCCTACTGTGCATGGCAGGAGGATGCTGAGCCTGCACTTTCCCGCCCACCGTGGCACACGACCAGACCTCCCTGTTCTCATGCCCTCCGCAGTCATTTTAAAACAGGTCTTCAGGTATGCTCAGTTCTCTTTAGATGAAGTTCTTTAAGTTTCAACAAGGTCAGGAAAAAATCTCACTCATGCATCCGGAGCGAACATAATTAAAGCCTTTGCTACCGAAATCAGTTTTACTTTAAAAAATGTTAAGGAACAATAACATAACATAAACATCTATTCCTGTGATTTGCACACCAAATAAGTGATTTTGCAACCTTTTGTGTATACCAGGTGCTGTCTTCTGTGCCATGTGCACGCATCCTATTATTTTTTCAGATTAATCCTTTAAAGTTCCATGATCATTTTTAGTATCTACTGATCATTTTTAATATCTATTTATAATTTAGAATACCTCATGCTTCTGAATACATTTCAAGAGATTTGGAGGTTTTTTGTTTGTTTGTTTCAATTAGTGAGGTTTGATATTAATATAAATGGATATATTGTTCCTTTTGTCTCTAGGAAACATTCTGAATAGGCTACTTTTGGGTTGCAATATCCAGGAGTAAAAAGAGAAGAAGCATAACATTCACAAAACCAGAAAAATATTTTTACTCCCCTGGTCTTGGTAAGTTAGTCCAATTATTTGACACTTTTCACTTATATTACGAGATCTTAGGCTAGAAACAAAAAGCACATCATACTTCACCTTAAAAGCAAAGAAAGCATTCAGCAACAGTACAAGAGATGCAGTAGTAGAATGGGGCAGTCATTATCATGGCACAGCTGGTCTTGATGGTGAGATAAGTACCACAAGGTGAAACTAATGCTTCTGATCATGGGCAAGACCAGTCTCTGATTTATCCCTTGATTACAACAAGGCCCTTGGGGGATGAATCATGCTTTAAATTAGTTTGTCTGTCCATCTACCTCTTTCTGTCTCATACTGTCTTTGATGATCTCTATGAGTCCTTCCTTCTGTTTTCATAATATTGAAATAGTTAAAATATTGTTTATTAGTAACCTGGAGGATATGGAGTTTATAAACAGGACATGAGAGAAGGCTTCAATTCCTGGGAAAGCTGCTGAATTCATATCAGGAAATATTCTGGGTGGACAAGAGGTTAGTAGAAGTTACAAATAGCAAATTATGTAGCTCGCTTTCTTGATGCTTTCTTCTCTGTTCCTCATGTTCTTGTTGTACAAATATGTCTCACTTGTTTTCAAAGGCTGACTTATCAGATGTGGGTATATGGTTCAGGAGTTTCTCTTTGCAGTCTCAGTAACTAACATTCAGGATGATTAATTGCCTTAATTTTTAATTATTTTTTTCTTAAAGTGTAGAGTGTGTGAAGAGTTCAGAAATGATATACAAACTCCATGGGAGCTAATTCTTGCTTATGAAATATTAGCAATAGATTTATTCCAACAATGTAATCCACACTGTCTGAGATGTTTCTTCCTTGAGTTTATACCTTATTTTTTTTAGTTGCCAATTGAGTTCAGTGTCTAGTCCTCTCTCTCCTGTGTCCACCCCCATGATGTAATTGTTTCCATCTATTGTACTGGTTTGAGAAAACCCAGTCCCAAGTTTCAGATTAATTCCTTGCAGTCTGCATCAGCTGTGGTTGCTTTATTTTCTGAACTGCAACATTAAAATTAGCTTTAATGAGTAAAATAAATACTGTAATCTGACTTCCAAAAGGGATACTTTACAGACTCATAGAATGCCAGATTGAAAGAGAATTATAAATTATCAACTGGTCCAACCTTTCTTGGCAAAAGCACATTCTAGACACGATGGCCTAGCACACCATCCAGCCAAATCTTAAGAAGTGGCCAATGTTGGGGAATCCACCACTTCCCTGGGGAGACTATTGCAACGGCTGATTGTTCTCATTGTGAAAAATTTTTCTGCCATGTTCAATTGGAATCTCACCAGGAGAAACTTGCACCCATTACCCCTCTTCTTGACAATGCATTCCCTTGTAAAAAGGGAGTCCCATCATCTTTGTAGCCACCCTTTAAATACTGTAATGTGGTGATAAGGTCTTGCCACACCTTTCATGTGTGAGTGATTTTCTGTAACAAATGTAGTCCCGGTGTGCAAGAAAGTGTCTGGGTAGCTTTTTTTCACCTTTGAGACACAACAAAGAGACTCTGGAGAAATCAGTTTTCTATAAAGGCTTGTGAGTAAAATACTCCTTTTAGGTATTCGCGCCAGCTAATTTTTACAGTGCTCTGAAAGAGAGAAGATAGTTCAGGCACTTTGTCTGCAGGAAGGAAGCAATTAAATTATTAGCACTTTGAGAAATTGAAGGATGTAAGTTATGGCAGAATAAGTTTAGCAAAATGGTATAATGTAAGAAAACAATTAAAAAGAGTTATATAAGGTTGGGTGGCTTCTTTATTGTGATAGAGTGACTAGTTAATTGATTGTCATATTGCTATAATGTACCAGGGCAGTTGTGAGAGCAAATAGAGAAATTTCTGCTCAGGATGTATGGAGATAAAGTGCCAGGAAAGGGACATGTCTTCTAGGGAAATGGGAGCGAGCAGCAGTCTGCTACCCTCAGTTCTTTCTCCCTGTATCCTGTGAAGAGACATTAAGTACAGAGAAATTCCCTATTCTCTCCAGTTTCCTAGGTCTGATGCTGCAAGATTACATTCAGCTCTCTGCCTGACAGTGATATGGGAAGCAGAAGTGCTTCAGAATTGGATCCCAAAAATGGGAGACTTGCAGAGGCTGCTCTATCAGCACTGGTAGTGGAGCCATGCAGCTTTGTACCAGCACTGCTGCCAGCATCTGATTCCTTTTTGAGAGTGCTCATGACTCTGCAAACCCTCCTGGGCTATTAGTCAGATGTTCTGTGAAAGAAGCTGGAAGAAAATTATATCCTTTCCCATAAACCCATTGCACTTTGTTTAGCACAAAGAGAAGCATGTAGTTTCTGGCCAGGAAAGCAGCTGTATTACAGGAAAGGAAATTAAGCTAGAAGTAGCAACTTGCAAATAGCTTGTACTGTTGTTCTAAAGAATAAGTTTCTTAACATTTTTTTTACTCTGTGCTTTCTGGTACTCAGATTTTACACTATGCACAGGCAGTACCACATCTTCTGCTTCAATGTTTAGTATGGCCTGTACCTTTGCTGTGTCTGGGTCCTGCCCTGCACCTCATGAAGCTCAGAAACAGAAGAAAAAACCTAAACATTTACCAGATCATAGATGACATCCCCCGGGCCAGATCAGTAGCATGTGTACATGTATGCAACTTGCCAGTCTGTCTCTGGGGCTAAGAGGAATGTTTGGGCAGGGAACTGATGGGGAGGTGTCCTGCTTACAACTCCACTCTTGCCTGAATTTGGGTGCACTCTCTCAACTTCTTTGCCTCAGTTTCTCACCTGCAGAGCAGTGAGGTATTTGTATACTTTATGGACACTAGAGATGTATCATTAGCTAGTACTTACTGAAGTTCACCAGGAAGGGGAAAGGATTTGGTTAAATTATTTGCAACAAAGGTTATAATAATTATAATAATAGCAATTGCTTTTTTTTATAACACAGTTTGGCACCTTCATTGCTCTAATTGCTGAAAACATAGCAATTTCCCCTAAATGTCTACATGTTACCACTTAAAACAAAGGCACTGGAAGACACATGCAGGTGAAAGATATGCATAGGCCATCATTCTGCAAAGTGTTGTGGATTTAGGGGAAAAATCCAGAAGGTTGGAAGAGAATTACACAGCTTGAGTAGCATGAAGAATATGATGCTGTGGAAAGTTTGGAGGAGCTTAGAGCAGGAAGCTTGTGTTGTTCATGAGTCAAAAGGGAGCTGTACCTTTTTTCTAGGGTGTTTGAAAAAATCAAACTCTCTACCTTTCCTTCATATAAGATAAGGCAGTGGTATGAACTGTTAAAAATCAAGAGTATGAGGGGAGGAGCCCTCAGTGTAATAAGTCTGCAAGTTCTGCTCTCTTTC